CCAGTGATTTCCACTGACGTCACACAAATCGACGCAAGATCCTACCTTGCATTCATTGTATCATGGGGGCCAGAGCTGTCCATGATGCAAGGAATATATATTCCTTGTATCATGAGAGCTGTCAGATACTCGGATATTATAGCTCCCGCCTGACGTGAATATTAAAACTTAAAACGCCTCTTCCCAGTACAGCGCGGCTGCGTTGTAAGTTGCCTACGGATTTGTATGGATTTTTCAGAAACGATATACGCAAAATTTCCTATAAAAGGTTGGCATCCCTGCCTGACTGTCATCTGTCTGTGACTTATTGACAGCCTTAGATGAAGACAGCAAGGCCAACACGTGTTGGGGTTAGTTTTCTCGTTGCCGTGTGTTTTTCGCAAATTTGTGAAAACTGAAAATAGCACATATAATGGTTTCTCCACATCCTTCTACTAAACAGAAAGGGCGTAAGAGGTTGCTTAATAGGGATGATGGGACCCCCAAAAGTATGTAGTTTTAACAGGTTTACATTTCTATGCTTGTTTTTAGAGCCTGGAACCATGCTCAAATGAGTGGTTCCAGCTAGAATTCACTTAACACCACAAGCTTTCTAATAAAATCTGTCGCTTGGCACGGTTAAATGCCCTAAAATGTATTTCTTGATATTTGTACTTTAGAAAAGAAGATGAAAAGCAAGAAAGATCCCATGCCAATTGTGGAAGAGAAAGACGAAGTTCCATTAGTTCCAACAAAAGAGAACCCACCAAAAAGTGATAAAGGTACGTTTTGCAAATTTGTGCTTGAATGAATTGAAAAATATTTGCAAATTGCCAAAAAGCTTATGATGAGTATTAAGGCGAATACGATGCTTCCTTAAACATTTATTAGAAGCTCTTGCCAGTTTCATATAGATGTCTTCAAGTTGAGGCAAAAGGAGTTGAAACATTTTCTGAACATTTCGCTCATAGGCAGAACATAAAGCATGTTTCAGCCAACCTATTACCCAATATTCTGATGTTTTAGGAAAAAAGAAGGCAAAATCAGAAAAGAAACAACCTGTGGAAACACGTGATGCAGAAGATGAGGAAGAGGACAAGTCTTTGGACACTCAGCGTAAGTTAATAATTTACAGTGTTTTTATATGAGAGCAGAAGTTTGCCTTAGAACATTTCTTAGATTTGTGAATATTCTAGACCTGTAACGGTTCAACAAAAAATCACTTAGCATAGAACTCAAATTGAATGTTTTTGTTGTTTTAGTGCCAGGGTCTCAAGTAGGACTTGAGATTCTTAGCGAAAGAAAGTTTGAAAGTCTCAAGGGACTGGTTTGTGAAAATACATTGAAAGCAATTGTCGACATGGGATTTATCACGATGACGGAAATCCAAGCACGGAGTATACCGCCACTACTTGAAGGTAAAATATTAAGTCATTTGCGTTCTACTGACTTGAATAATTAATTTTCATTAATTTAGGCCGGGATCTGCTGGGTGCGGCAAAAACAGGGTCTGGTAAAACATTGGCATTTCTTATCCCTGCTATTGAATTAATATACAAATTGAAGTACATGCCAAGAAATGGTAAGTAAATAATGCCCCTACATTTTAGAGAAATTGTGTGCATGTTTTTCCCTTCCCTAAGGAACTGGTGTTATAATTATATCCCCAACAAGAGAATTATCTATGCAAACTTTCGGGGTATTAAAAGAGCTGATGAAATACCACCATCATACTTATGGGCTCATTATGGGTGGGGCTCCTAGACAAACAGAAGCTCAAAAACTTTCTAAAGGAATTAATATTTTGGTGGCAACTCCTGGAAGGTATGAAATCCATTTGTTCCAAAAAGAAGATTTTATAGATCGCTATTTTATTTTCAGATTATTGGATCATCTTCAAAACACTCCGGACTTTTTGTACAAAAACCTTCAATGCTTGATTGTAGATGAAGCTGATAGAATACTGCAGATCGGGTTTGAAGAAGAAATGAAACAAATAATAAATCTGCTGCCTAGTAAGTCTTTATAAAGGTCAATTAAATTACTTACAGTCATCTAATTTTGTGCATTTTAGAGAGACGACAGACCATGTTATTCAGTGCAACTCAAAGCGAAAAAACAGAAGCTCTAACTTCTCTGGCCCTTAAAAAAGAGCCCATATATGTAGGAGTGGATGATTTTAAATCGGAGGCTACAGTCTCAGGTATAAGATGTTAGAAAAATTATATGGAAACTGTGTGTTCTAAAGCCGTCGGGGTTTCAGGTTTGGAACAAGGATACGTAATGTGTCCTTCAGAGAAACGTTTTTTGATGCTATTTTCATTCCTGAAGAAAAACCGGAAAAAGAAAATAATGGTGTTTTTCAGTTCTTGTATGTCTGTCAAGTTTCACGCCGAAATCTTTAACTACATAGATATACCAGTGATGTCTATCCACGTAAGTATTTTTAAAGCAACTGTATATGACAAGTTATTAATTGGAATTTTATAGGGAAAACAAAAGCAAGGCAAGCGCACCTCGACTTTCTTCCAATTTTGCTCTGCAGCCTCTGGAATTCTGCTTTGTACTGATGTTGCTGCGAGAGGTTTGGACATTCCAGCTGTGGATTGGATCGTTCAGTATGATCCTCCAGATGATCCAAAAGAGTACATTCATAGAGTTGGAAGGACAGCAAGAGGCGAAGGTAATAATGAAAGTGGATATTGACCATTTTCATGTATTAATATGGGAGGATTTTAGGCAGTAGCGGTCATGCATTGCTAATATTGAGACCAGAAGAGCTGGGATTTTTATGGTATCTTAAACAAGCCAAAGTGCCATTAAATGAATTTGAGTTCAGCTGGAGTAAAATTGCTGATATTCAACTACAGGTAAGTTATTCTATTAATATTTTATTGCATTCTTGAGGGGAACAGGGCATGGGTCCCTATATCAAAACGTTTTCGGAATTTATTTTATGTGAGGCAACGCATAAATTGTTGAAAATATTATTTCTTTTATTGCAGCTCGAGAATTTGGTAGGCGGAAATTACTTTTTAAACGGTGCAGCAAAAGAGGCGTTTAAAGCATATGCGAGGGCTTATGATTCTCACCATCTAAAAAATATATTTGATATTTCCACTTTGGATTTAGCTAAAGTCGGAAAATCCTTTGGATTTAGGGTGCCACCGGCTATTGATCTAAGTTTTACTGCAAGGAAAAGTGAGTAGTTGTTGATAACAGTGCAAATAAATGAACTGGCGTTGTGAAAACTTGCGATTTGAATCAATATTTCTTGTTTTAGATGAGCGTCCAGAGAAAAAGAGGAAAGGTGGCGGAGGGTTTGGGTTTTATAAAGGCATGAACTCCGACAGGGACCGCAAAAGTTATATATTTAAACAAAAGAGAGCTTGAATAAAATAACCATTAATTTGTCTGTTTGATTGAACTTTGAATTACACCTTTGTTTGGAACAAAAGATCCCGAAAGCTACAGGTCTATAGGCTTTTGAACCGGATTTTTTGGTCATGTAATGAATTTCAATAATCGAAATACTGAGAAAACGAGAAAAGTGAACGCTAACAATCGTCATGTTTTGAGATTTAACCCAAGCGTATTATTGCTTAAATATTTTTATTGCCTTACTACATAAACTAGCAGCAAATACACCAACAATCTACGAAAACAATATCTAGTAGATTTCAATAGTTTGTAAATTTATTATGATTCAGATTCACTTTTTACCGAGCATTTTTTTAATATAATGCGGGCTTAAAGCTACATTTATAAAACTGACCAATTGTGGCTTTGGGAGACTTTGTCAGTTCTTGTACTAAAAACGGCAATTTTAATAATATTGCTAATTGCGGGGATTTGGATGCACATACTGGAAATTGGATTAAAATTTGATACTTTTTTGAGTAACCGAAACAATTTGAAGTAGTAACGACAGTGACCTGTGAGCCATAGATAACGTATAAAATTAATAGTTTATTTGAGTAGTTGATTTAATAAGCAATTATTATATTAATATTGAATTGGGAATTCTTTTTAACTTTTTTATTTGATAATGACAAAGCTTTCGAGTTTTAAAACAAAAAACTTGTTCATTTATGTATAAAGCCATCCTAAGATCGACAGACAGAAGACAAACAACAGCAGTCTGACATTTCATTTCACACAGATCTGAAAATGTTTATCAACATTTCGTAGGTTAAATTATTTTTATTTACATGTAGAATTGCTAAAAAAAAACGATTTATTAAAATTTATTAAGCTTAATGGTTTGTTTTTAAGTCACTAACAAATTAATTAAAATGTCCTGCAACTATGCTGAAGGCCTCTCAGAATATGAAGATAAAGGCGTTTTAGGTGTACCTGAGGTAAGTGTTAAATTGATATATTTAGTTATTATTCAATTAAAAGAATATGTAAAACCTTCTACTTCTGCATAGATATATCAGCTGTTTACATTGATAACAATAACTTGCATTTCCATTTTGTGTTTATGCTTTTCGGCATTGACAAATTTAGATGCATTTTGTTGGCTTGTTGAGGCTCTAGACAGTAGACATAATATACATCGGACACAGCAAGCTTAGGCTAAAACAGTTCCGAACAGGCATCGGCGTAACAACCTTCCTGGGGAAATTCTGAATCTTATTCAAGCGAAAAATCGAATCAGGAAGCGTTGGCAGCTCTCCCGATCGTATAAGGGCAGATGAGCTTGTACGAGACACAGCGTGAAAGTTCCGCATATGTACAGGATATTTTACGTGGGCGGAAAAGCTATGCAATCTAACCCCCCGTGACAATTCATCGTGGAAACTGTCGAAAAACCTCCGAAAAGGCTACGGGCAAGTCCAACCAGCCCCTCAGGATGACAAACTCGTAATACAGACCGCTGTTTCTGTAGAACGGAAGTATCCTATTTCACCCTCGATTTTGCATTCATATATAACAACCCCGTCGGATATACAATCGTCCTTTGGCCCCGTCCTAACCCCTGGGCCTGGACCAGACGGCAGCCTCTATTTGCTCCTTAAAAACCTGCCGCGGAAAACGATTGTGCAAATAGCCCTTAAATTGCAGCATTTCCCACAGGACTGAAAAAACGCTGTAATAATTCCTATTTTCAAGCCGGCCAAAAACCCAACTGATCCCGATTCTTATTGAATGATTTCAAAGATTACAAAATCTCGTATTGCACATCACCTGAGTGTTTTGACGCCGTATTTCGACAAATGGAAACTTAAAGTGAATCCCAGGAAGACTGAGATTATTTTCTACCATCAAGCCAGTAAGAGCATCGGCGGATCCAGCTTTAAAGTCGGTGGCGCAAGATTATTGCAAAATTTCATGTTTTCCGTCCCGTTTTGCATGTTTCTCGGAAGCAAAATGAGCAAGAACGCTCGTTTTTACATCA